TACCACAACGAGGAGGACGAGGAGGACGACGAGGCCTACGACACCATGGTGGAGGAGCAGTACGGGCAGATGTACATCAAGTCCTCGGGAGGTTACTCTGGTAATGGATGGTTCTCTCTGCTTGGGTTTTTTGCTCCCTTGCTGAGGTTGTGTGGGCCTTGTCCAGCCACTCTGGGCAGATTTGGGTTGGTCACCGGGTTTTGGTCTTTGGGGGTTTCATTTGTTGGTTTTTGCCCGTGTGGTGGGCTCGGTGCTGATGTCTCGGTGCTTTTCATTCTTTAGATGAGAGACTGTATCATCCACCAGGGTCAGCTCAGCTTTTGCTTTTTGGCTGAGGCTGCCAGTGAGGAGCCTGGTGGCTGCACGAGCCCTGTGGTGGTGGCATCCATCCTGAGGTGATGGCTGAGCAAACCTGCTGTGGGTCATCCTCTTGGCCCAGGGCCAGGTGGTCACTCCGGGAGCTGTCTTCTGTCCTGGCTTTTTAGAATAAGAGTTTCCAAAAAAAGTGATGAGCATGGGATATTTGGAGAAGGGGGAATATAAACGAAATAATTTTTGTTGAAGTTAACTAGGAATATCAGCAACAGGAAGAAAAGACTGATTTTTCTCCCCACTCCCTGGAGTGCCCCTCTCTCCTTGTCCCACACATCACTGTTAGAAATGAAAAAGCATTTTTGGGGCTTCATATTCTTTTATTTCCCCATTAGTGCCCAGAACAAAGCAAAACCCCTCTGCTGCCCTCGCAGAATTTGGGATTAAGGGCTGAGTGTGAATCCCTCGACGGGCCTCAGACAGAGGAGGCAGCTTCACTTTGGTGCTGCTTGGCTGGGAGCTGCTGCTCAGCCCCAGAGTGGGCACAGGGACACGAGAGCTCCTTTCCCTCCCACTTCCTTGGGCACACAGCCTGTTTTCCTGGCACCTGGCAGGGCTCAGACCCTCCTGAGGAGCCAGGACAGGGCTGCAGGTCCAGGGGGAGATGTCCTGTGAGCATCCCCCGTGGAAGCAGCTCCCAGCACCCACACAGGTGGAGCTGGCAGTGTCCCCCATGGAAGCTCAGCCTCACAGAGGCCTCCTCGTGGGAGCTGCAGGTGTTTGTGGCAGCAGCTTTGATCCTCAGGAGCTCCCCAGGGAGGGACATCTTCCCCCTGGCTGTGGCTGCACACAGCATCCCCTCCCCTGGAGCTGCTTCCCCTGCTCTGGAATTGCTGCATTGATGCTGCAAATATTTTAACTCTGGTTCATTGACGAGCTTTCCTCAAAGCCATTTGATTTTAGTCTTCACCAAGGAGCAAGATTTGGCAAATAGGACAATTTTTGTTGCATAAAACAGGTAGCCTTCCTTAGTACTGAGAGTGGGCTCACCCCCACACACTGTCCCATCCCATCCCATCCCATCCCATCCCATCCCATCCCAGGAGCTCAGCGTCCTCTGGCCACGTTCCCTGACAGACAGCAAGCAGATAAGCAGAATTTTCCAAGGTGTTTTTTCACTAAAGGGGGAAAACAGTGAATTTACTATTTTAATATTAGAAATATTTGTTAGGAGAAGTGGACAAGCAGTTGTAGGAAATTAGCCTCAAATTAGCCTCTCCCTGTCCTGCTTCAGTGGTGGGGATGGGGCAGAAGAGGAGTGGGGTCAGGGGTGGGACAAGGTCAGGGTCTCCTCTATGGCTGCTGTGGACCCAGACTAAACAGGAATTGTGCTGTTGCCCACTTGTCTTGGGTTTATTTTGCTTTTCCCTGTAGAACCTGTGCTGAGCAATGTGGGTTTGCCTTCAGTTTTTCCTCAGAGCAGTGGGATCATGCCCTTGGAGTGTGTTTTCCATCCCTGTCACGGGGCCAGTTCCTGCAGGAACAGAACAAAACCAGCTCAGAAGGCAAGGACAGCACCAGCCTGGGGATGGTGCAGCAGCAGCTCCGAGGCTGCCCCTGATCCATGCTGGGCAGGAATCATCCCAGCTGGAAAAGTGAAAATCCGTGCAGCTTCCTCAGGTGTCACTGGAGATGCTGCAGCCCTTGTGCCAGGGCTGGGCATCCCACAGCCAAGTTCTCCTGCTTGTTTTCTGTAGGGAGAAGCAGGTGGTGATGCTGAGGCCATGCAGGGAAGAGGCAGGTTGTAAGGCTCTAAATATCCCACATTTCTGCTGAAATTCCTCTTCCCCACCCGCACCTTTCGGGGGAGTTTCCTGTTTGAAATAAGGCAGCTATAGGTATCAGGCTTCCTGGAAAAGAGGGCATGCAAAAAAGAGATTACAAAAAGTAAAACCTAAGCTGTTCCATTATGGTTGGGACTTGTAGAGCTAACTGTGTTTTAATTACTCGGGATAAACTGTACCCTCTCAAAAGGTGCAGAATAATGAAACTGTGAGATGGAAGAGAGAAGGCAGCTAATCCTGCTCCTGGCATGGAGATCCCACAGCCTCACAAAGCCCTGGGGGAGGGGGAGCCCTTTAAACCAGGCATTGCCAAGGTTTCCAAGAGCCCTGTTTGTGAAAACAAAAACAAAGCCAAAGAGGAGCGGAGCAGACAAAGCTCTGAATTTCAGAGAGGGTTGCTGGATTTTTTTCCTTCTTTTTCTATGCATTTTTATTCCCCATCTGAAGCTGCTGAGGGTGTGGTGGGACACTGGTGGCTGAGCTCCTCACCTGCCTTCAGCATCACCCACCAGCCTTGGAGGGGTCACCAATCCTCTTCTTGCCCCAAGGCTGGGGGTTTTTAATTTATTTTTTTCACCCCTTTTTGTAGTCAGAGCCATTCTGAATCTCCAAAGCTGGATCAGATCCTCATCTCCAAATCATTAAGGTTGGAAAAGGTCTCCAAGATCAAACTTGGACCAAACACCACCAAGAGCACTGAGTGCCACATCCTTGGGCACATCCAGGGGTGGGCACTCCAAAACCTCCCTGGGCAGCCCCTTCCCATGCCTGAACACCTTTTCCATGAAGAAATTCCTCCTTTTGTCCAATCTGAACCTTTTCTGGCACAGTTTGAGGCTGTTTCCTCTTGGGAGAAGAGGCTGGTGCCAACCTGCAGCGGTGGCACTGCTGTGAGGGACCAGGACAAGTGTTGGAGCTGCAGAAGGAGCAGCAGGATGAGGCCAGGATTAAACACAGGAGGTGTTGGCAGGCAGGGTGGCAGCTGGCAGAGGGGAAAAGCTGCCTCAGTTTCCCCCCAGGCTCTGGGCAGGTTTGGTGGCCACGTTTGCCATGCCGGGCTGGGAGCACTGCGGTAAAATGGCTCCTTGCTCCAGAACTAGGTCTGGGTGTGGAGAACATGTGGGCCTCGAGGACACGAGCGAGACTTAATGAGGTTTCCAGCATCTGATCTGAGGAGCGCACAACTCCAGAAAATATTAAACAAAAGCAAAGTATTTTTATCCCTGTTAATTACAGCGTCGTGGGCCCGAGCTGAAGTGGGTTTCAGCAGGACTTGCAGATGCTCGGCGCTTTTCTGCACTGAGCCACATTCTTGTCAGTCAGCTCTCTGCTGAGCAGATGCAGTTAATTTAATTTTGACAGGCACCAGTGAAGTTGTGCAAGGGTCCGTCCTCCTCCCCTGCTCCTGCTGCACCGGTTTGCAGGGAAAAGGGAAAATCTTGATGCAGCAAACGGCTGGAATGTAAAGGCTGGACTTGAAAGTTATGAAATCCTGAACTGACAAGAGCACACTTCATTAAAAATTCATCTAAAATAGCCATTATAGAATAGTTGTGGTAATTAGCTGAGAGAATAGTTTTCTCTCCTGGCCTCTGATTCCTGACAGTAAGGAAGGAGGGCAGGGAACAGCCCAGAATCCCAAATGGTGCAGCCCGTGCAGCATCCCGCGCTGCAGCCGCGTAAATCACAAACCACGGCAGGAATTGCAGCGGGATGGAGCAGCTGGCTGCCACTGCAGGGACAGCCCCTGCTCCTGCCAACTCCCCCTGCTCCTGAGGGAGCAGCCTGTGCACAGGAGGATGCTCAGCAGCAAACAGCTCGTGGATTTTTAGGGAATGAAGTGGTCGAGGGCTGTGTCAGTATCCACCAGGGCACTTTGGCTTTTTGCAGAGGGATTCAAACACCTGCAGAGTGCTGAAAGCCTGGCTGTGTGTCTTCATGGGACAAGGTGGGGACGGGGCACAGGTTGGACTTGGTGGTTTTGGAGGTGTTTTCCAGGCTGAGGGCTCTGTGGTGGCACTGCCCCATCTGACTGCCCCAGGCTGGGGGCACTCAGCCTCTGGCCTTTTTTGGCATTAAACTTCCAGCCCCATTTTCCTCCCTCTGAACCACAGATGTTTAATTTTAGGCTGGCAGATGTTTCACTCCTGGCTGAGATCTGAGGCGAAGGCAAGATAGGGGTATTTATAAACCAGTAATATTTTTCCTATACTAATTCCAGATTACCTCCCTGTATAAATAGGTCACAAATCAAAGGCTACATTTCAGTACGTTGGTATAAATGTACTATTTGGGAAATGTAAACTCTCCCCGTTGGGACTCTGTGATGGATCTGTCCCAGGGTGCTTGCATGTGTCCTCTGCTCCAGGTTTACATCTGCAGCAGATGCTGGGGATGCTGAGGCTGTGGAGGGAAGATATTTCTGAGGTGGTCCCACTGCCAGTGGAAAATAGGCTGATGGAAGAGAAATGTTAAAATATTACTGTTTGAAAAGAGACTTTTTGCTGTGTACAGAAAGGATCATCCATCATGGAGCAGGTGGAGATGGGTTCTCCAGCCTTTTATTCAGGGTTTGAGATGTGTGGTTACATGTTGGGACTCTGTAGACATCAATTTTTGGGTGAGGCTCCATCACTCTGATCTTTGTGTATCTCCCAATCCCATTCCTAAACCAGCAGCAGTTGTTTCTTACCCACAGGAGCACCTTGATGTTTCTGTGCAGTTTGGAGAACCCAAACTGGTGGGAATTGGGGCTTCATGACTCATTTTGCAGCTCTGCTGTTTGGATTGTCAGGAAGTAAGGAGATGAGTGAGTGCTGGGGCCGGGTGTGCGTCCAGCAATCCCCAGGCACTCACCTGAGCAGCCCATGCCCAGCAAAGCTCAGGTGGGACGTGCAGGAATCCCAGTGTCACCCAACCATCGTGGGCTCAGCACTAAGGGGCTGTGAGGGATCTCTGGAGTTTGTTTTAGGGATGAGGAGGACACGTGCCCCAGCATCATGCACAGCCTGGAGCCACGGAGCATGGACCAGTGAGTTAGATTGAGGCTGTTTCTTCAGCCAGAAAAATCCAGGAAAATGAGTTTTTCCCATTCTGCACCACCTGTGGCAGCTGCAGCCTCCAGCTAAGTTTGGGATAAAAGCATACATCCAAATAAATCAAATATTCCAGTGTTTGGCTGGCAGCTCTGGTGGCTTCCTCTGTAATGATTTCCTGCCCCTCTCTGCTGGCTGGGAGCTCCTTTCTTGTTCAGGAACAAAACTGTATTTAACAATACTTCCCATTGTTTGCCCTTTCATTCAAAGGGAAGGAGCCGCTGCCCTCTGAAGATACAAATTAATTAGAAGCAAATACTCTCCTGTTCTCTGGAGCAGAAAGGCCAAACAGAGTGGCTTTCTGTGGAAACATGGCACCAGAGTGGCTCTTGTGTCCTGCTCCTTTACATAACTGATTGCTATCTGCTCAACTGAGGTGCCACTGAAAGCCCCAAACCTCTTTTTGTTTGGTATCGTTGATTTTCTGCTAATGCTTGAATGGAAGCAAAGCCCCCCAAAATGATTCATGGCCGTGTTTAATAAGAGATTTATAGACAGTGAGCCAGCAGGACAGATGTAACCAAAATCCTGCAGTGGGTTGAGTTGTGCTTGGTCTTTTTAGCTGAATTTTAGTTTGGTTTTTGAAGTGTGGTGCTGATGGATGTTGTGGGTGCTTTCGACCTGAGCCATTGGTTAAAGTAAAAATGAAATACTAAAAATTCAAATTTTAATAATTTTAAATAATTTTTAATATTTTTAATAATTTTTAATAACCTGGGCCGAGCCCTCTGCTGAGGTGGGATTGTGTAGGTCACATATACAGCTCCTAGGGGTTGTGTATTTAATTTTACCTCTGAATAAAATTTTGCCTCTGGGAGATGTCTGAGGTGTCCCTTCCTGCCCTGGAGCTGCCCTGGTGCCCCTGCCTTGCCAGGGAAGGACAGCAGAGCAGGAACTGGTTCCCCCATACCCCCTGTCCCTTTGTTTTTTGTTTATTTAAGCTGAAAATATCAGTATTTAATGGGATATGGTTTGCTTATCACTCTAAAAGCCTCAAAATAGAGCTGATCTTTGAGATTCTCCCTCAGTGGGAGCTGAGCCCCATCTCCAGCAGGCTCTGGGAATGCTGGGGATATTGCAGCTGGGAATGTCAATGCACAGATTTCCCACTGGTGATGGGGCTGCGATGGCACAAAGAGTTTAAAACCGCCCTGTCAGTCGTTCTGCTGCTGTTGGGTTGGACATCCCTGAGCAGGGACCGTCCTCCTGCCATTCCAGAACCCCTCCTGGCGTTCCTCAGGGCCAGAGGGAGCCATCCAGCCCATGTCCTGAGGGTGGGGATGCCCCAGAGCCTCCACGGGATGCCCCAGCCCAGCAGGGCACCGTGGCCATGTCCTACTTAGAACAGAACACTGCTCCCTTTGTCCCCGAGCCATCACCCTGGGTTACTGAGCAACAGCTCTGCAAAACTTGTTATTTTATCTGCAGGGAGGAAAAGTGAACGCAGAACTCGGGGATAATCGCAGGGAAAGACACCTCAGGGGCAGGTTTTGAGTTCAGAAATGCTCCTTGCTGGGGTTTCTGCTCTCTCAGTGTGCACAGGTTTCGAGCACAGAGCTGGGTTTGGGTTTGTACATGGCACTTGCCAATTATCAAACAGTTTTGGGGACAAAAGGTGGATTATGGCAGAGCTGGGCTGCAGTTCAGCCCTGGAGCTGTTCCCACCGTGTCCTGAAGATGATGCACATGGTCAGCCCTCGTTGCTGTCAAAAATTGTCATTTTTAAGCAATCTGGTGGTCTTGGGCTGTAAATGTGCTTTAGAAACCAATCCTCTGTGTGCCCGCAATGCCCAGATTTGGAGGTGCTGGCAGGACAGCCCAGAATTTCCAGCTTTTCCATGTTACTGCTTGCTCCTGGGTACTGGTGGGCTCTGGAGATGGTGCATCTGAGCAGGTTGGGAAAATCTGGTATTCTGGTTTTCAAGCTACACTTTAATAACGTTTTTGCCTTGTTGATGAGGGCTTCTTTTGTTACTGAGAGGAAAAGCTGGCCTGCAGAGGCAGAGGAACAGAAGGAGGGCTGGAGGTGGTTGGTGAGTGCACAGAGAGGCTCTGGTGACCTTTCTCAGAGCAGAGGTGTCTGCAGGGTCTGGATTTTAACTTCAGCAGGAAAAACCATCAAGGGAAGTAGTGATGGAACTGCTGCAGGTGTTCATCAATTCACTGTTTAGAACCTCTGGTGAAATTCCTGCCTGGGATGTGTGGGGCAGCAGCTCCGTGTGCAGAATGATGTCAGCTGAACAGAGCTGTCCATTTTCACAAATTACTAACTCAGGAGATGTTAAATCATAATTAGATTCTGAGGATCCCTTTTGCAGAAGCTGGGGCTGCCATGGAGGGGGAGACCAGGGGATTTTCCCAAGTTTTCAGGTGTCACCTGCCCCGTGGGGGGAACATTTCCAATTGCTGCGTGAGGAAATCAAAGCCTGACCTCCTGTTAGCATCATGACAGGTTATTTTAACGATTTTCCCCTTCCATTTTGCAGTGGCCCAGGAGAAGGCAGAGCAGATCCCCCTGGAGAACCGCTCGTGCGTGCTGATCCGGCGGGACCTGGTGGCGCTCCCTGCCAGCCTCATCAGCCAGATCGGGTACCGCTGCCACCCCAAGCTCTACTCCGAGGGGGACCCTGGAGAGAAACTCGAGCTCGTTGCAGGTAGATTTTCCTTGGAATTTCCTTGGAATACCTCTGGGTTGCTGCTGTTCCCCTTCTGGAGCTGTGCTCTCCATCTCGCGTGCCCTTGCTGTGTCTTTCTGGATTATTCGTCACCAAGCGTTTTTTGGAAAGTTCTGAGTTTCCTTTAATTTGCTGACAGAAAAATGTGTCATTAACAGGATTTATTCAATTGAATTAATTTAGCATTTTAATTGAATTCTGCAGCTTGTGTTCTTCCTGCTCGGTGTGGTTGCAGTGAGTGTGTTTTCATTTAGAATCACAGATCTAAAAGCCCAACAACCCCCACTCAAAAATTGCCACATTATAAGATTTACAAAGCAAGGGAGATAAAATCTGTGTCAATGAACAAGCTTTGAAAAACCTGTAAAATTTCTTTATAAATTTACTAAGTGGTCAAACACTGCAGCAGGAGGAGGAGGAATTGGGTTTGATCCTTTCTTCTGTCTTTGATTTCATTTTGGAGGGAATTTACAATATTGAGAGAATTTACTCCTTCTTTATAAAAGATTTCTGCCCAGTGTGAGGTGGAAGATGGTTCTGGTTAGAGAGTGTAGAGCTGAAGGAGTGAAACCAGGTGGCTGTGGCATCCCAGGCACACCCAGCACTGCACAGAAAGTGTTTAACTGGAGTGACCAGCTCGAATTCCAGTGGAAATAATCATAATAATCATAATAATAATATCCTGCTTTTAGAAGTTGCTCCCAGCTTTGCTTTGCAGTGGGCTGGCTGTGGGTTTTTCCCTTGGATGTGGCTGTGTGGGGATGACTGGGCAGGACATCCCAGACGTGCCCCCAGGTGGGGAGGTTTAATTAATCCCTGCAAAGCCCTTGGTCCAAGAGGGACATGTGGCAGCACAGTCCATCCAAATCAGTTCTTCCCTTGCAGTCATTTCTCTCTTGGTGAGTAGCATGATTTCACTTCCATTCTGGAGAAGGAATCAGGATTTCAGGGGATGCCCACAAAGGTTTGCAGCTGATGGAGGACAGGACTTTGATGGAAGGCAAAGCACAGCTTACAACCACAAGTATTTATTTGGGATCTGGAATATTCATTTTGTACCCATTTCCATTTAATGTGAGACTTCTTAAAACCATCAAGTGGTGCAGGTTATTTTCACAGTGAGAGCTGCAAATTGGTTTGAGGCAACTCTGCTTGATTTACATTTTTCAATCTGGAAAAAAGCAGATTAATATCACTAACCGATAGTGGCTGCCTGGTTATTTTTCATTTATTAAAGTGAAGTTCCCCTCAGTGATGGCTGGTGTTTGCTCTGATGCCTTATCTCTTAAAATACAAAATAAGCTCCCCTAATTCCTGTCTCAGACCTGGAGGGGGGGCCTGATCCTGCTGTGAAAGTTTTCCTCAGCTCTCCAAGTGGGAGTGTTTTCCTTTTGTTTCTGGTTTTTCATGCTACAGTTGATTCAGCAAACTCAAGCAGCCCTCTCTGAAAAAGGGTCTTTAACAAGGCTTGCAGTCAGCACAGCACATCTGAGGGAGGGGCTGAGGCTGTTACTCAAAAAAAAAAAACCAAAACAAAACAAGACTAAAAAACCTCATTAGATGGAAGAGAATACAATGAATTTCTGGTGAGAGTGGCATGGCCAGAGATGCAGAGGGAGGTGCAGAGGGTCACCCCAGGGGCTGCCCTGAGCTCCAGCTCCATCCACAGGGTCAGGGACAATCCTCTTCCCTGGAAATCCAGGAGGAGATGTTGCTGCTCCAGCAGATGTTTTATATCTCCAGAACACAGTGTGTTCTGGATCCAGCTATGACCCATTATTTAATCTTAATTAAAAGCAAATACCAAACCCTCTCATGTAAGAGAATGCTTGAAAAATGGGATAACCTCTCCCTGGAAGCAGTGCTGATGCAGGAGCAGGCTGGTCTGTGAGCAGAGTAAAAAGGTTTGATATAAAACCTGCTCTAAAGTACTGCCAGACCTCTGGACGTGTCCAGCTGCTTTGCACAGGGTTCCTTTTTCTTCCAGAAAACATCCTTAAAGGCAGCAGCTTCAAAGGCAGCAGTTGCTGTGCATTAGAAGGAAAATTCCCTGCTCACCAGAGGTACCAAGAGGTGATGGGCTGGGGTTTTGGAAGCAGTTAGATCTGTAACCAAGTACCTCTTTCTGTGCTGTATGGGTTTTTTCTTTCATTTCCAGCTCTGTGTTCTGCAGCCTTGCACTGGAAAAGAAAAAGCCAAATGGATTGGGGTTTTCTTGCTTCAGAAAAAATAAATAATCTGATCTGTACATATCAAATCACAGTGTAAGCCTTGCACGGTGTGCATTGGTGAGAAAACAGGAATCCTTTCATTTGATTCCCATAGACTTCCTGTCTGTGCAGATAAAATTAGGAGTTGTTATTGCCTGGATTTGCCAGGATTCTCCAGAATTCCCTCTGTCCTTGTTGCAGCAGGTGAAGAGGAGGCTCCCAGCAGCGAGAGGCGCTGTGGGTGCCTCAGGGGTGGCTCTGTGCCTGTGTCAGGGGCTCATTCTGGATTTCCCTCTCCCCTTGCAGGCTCAGGTGTTTACATCACCCGGGGGCAGCTGATGAATTGCCATTTATGTGCTGGTGTCAAACACAAGGTCCTGCTCAGACGTCTCCTGGCCACCTTCTTCGATCGGTACGTCCCGTCCCGTCCCGTCCTGCTGCTCCTCGTGCTCTGCCAGGGCATCCCCTCCCTGTTCCTTCACCTCCAGGGGTTTAACCCCGTGTCAGGAGTGCCTCATCCTCTGCACTCAGCTCTGTGCATTTTCTTAGTGATGCTTGAGGACTTTATTCCATTTCCATGCACATTTCCCACTCCTCACGTGAAAATCCTGGTGATGCCTCACCTGCAGGGAGGAGGGCAAGGAGTGGCTGTGCCCTGGTCCTCTCTCCCAGGATGTTCCATCTAAATATATTTATATTTATATTTATATTTATATTTATATTTATATTTATATTTATATTTATATTTATATTTATATTTATAACTAGTGAGTCAGAAAGCTGATTTATTATTTTATGATATATATTCTGTTATATCCTTTGCCTCCCCACAGGAACACTCTTGCCAACAGCTGTGGAACTGGAATCAGGTCCTCCACGAGCGATCCCAGCAGGAAGCCCTTGGACAGCAGGGTCCTCAATGCAGTCAAATGTAAGGAGAGGGGTTTTCTGCTGCTGGGGTGGGACAGCATGGCCCAGCCCTGGGCAGGGAAGGGCACTCTGTTGTGTGGTAACGGTGGAATTAAGTTGTAGGAAAATCAATTTATTTTTTAGTTTACATCATTGCCCAGAGAAGCTGTGAGTGGGATCTGCTCTCCGTCAGCCACTTCCCACTCAGTCACCTGTAGTGTTTTGGGACAGGAGGTGCTGGAGGAAACCCCAAAGGGTTCAGAAAGATCTGTTTGCCATGGGCTTCAGATGCAGTAGGAATCACTGTGTTCTCTCAGCCTGGCTGAATTCTGGGGAGTAAATCTATGTGTAAATATTACTGTGCTGGAGAACAAAATTCTTAAGCAGTTTTTTTCATTTAGTTTTTAAGATTTTGGAGAGAATTCTTTCCCCTCCATAATTGTAAAGTGCAGGGGCCTTCCAGCTGCCCTGAGAGCAAGGAAAGGAATGGAATGATAATAAAATCTTGTGACTGACTGGAGAGTCCAAGCTAGCTGACTGTGATTGGCCATTAAATAAAAACAACCACATGAGACCAATCACAGATGCACCTGTTGCATTGCACAGCAGCAGATAACCATTGTTTACATTTTGTTCCTGAGGCCTCTCAGCTTCTCAGGAGAAAAGATCCTGGCAAAAGGATTTTTCATAAAACATGTCTGCGACAGGGGCCATTCTGGGGTGTTTATACCTCCCTGCTTGTCTCTTTTTGTTTGTACCTTCTTGGTTTGTTTCTTCTTGGTTGTCTCTTCTTGTTCATACCTTTTTGGCTGTTCCTCCTTGATCATACCTTCCTGGTTGTCCCTTCTTGTTCATACCTT